TTAAGGAGAGGGGGGGGGGGTTGCTGCAGAGATGTCAGGGGGCAATGCATCGCCTGCATTCAGTGGAAAGTTACTAAGTACTGTTCTCAAGTACACTTTTGAAGTACTTCACTTGAGTATTTCCATCTAAAAAAAATATATATATATATGTGTTAGTAATTTAGTTTTTGGGAGAAGGGGTGGGATTAAATAAGTGTAAACTTCTAATTAAGTAGATTATTTGTTTATACATAATTTAGAATCAGTAATATTTTTGTATATCAATTTGACACTGATTAATTTGGTATTGTATAATAATTCTGTTAAATGTTTGTATTATTGTTTTACACATTCAAAATAAATCAAGTCAAATAAAAAAATCCATCTCCTGCTAATTTATACTTCTTCACTTCAATTAAGAAGTTAGTTAATTGAGATGCTAATAATCTTTTATTACAAGAGAACTGCAGTGTTACTACTTATAGTTACAAAATCAAGTACTTCTGTCTAAAACGATCTAGATTTATGTACAGATGGATGTTCGGAAAGTAACTGATTAGGCCTTCTTACTTTAAGTCTCCGTTAAAGCCAGGGTTTAACATGAAGGCATAAAACGTGTCCCGTTTCGTTCTTCCTATAGTGTGCTGTACTGTGATATACCCCGGGCGGCGCCTGATCCCCAAATAAAGATATTTATGTATATTCCACAGCCTCTGTAAACCTCATCACATTTAAGATTAGCTGCTGAAACAGATCCGTTCTTATCTGATCAGAGCTGTGTGTGTGTGTGTGTGTAAATGAGAGCTCTGTCAACGAGCGCTTGAACTCAGCTCCGCCATTAACACGTTAGTCGAGGAGTCCCACAGCTGTCCCGGCCTGCTATGTGTCCCGGGTCAGAGGTCAGAGCTCCGCTTTTCAACACCTTTCTCGCGGTCTTTTTGCCCGTCAGCACTCCTGACATTTCAAGTCAATTCCTCCTCACTCGTGTGTGTCAACCGTGTGTTAACTTTATGTTAGGGGCTGAAATATCATTTCGCCTGCTAAGCTGCTCCCTCAGCGGTGGATTGGTTACAGGGTGGGATGAGGTAAGTGTTTACATTCATACGCAGTTGCAGTCGTTGCTCAATCCACATGAAGTGACAGACAGGCACAGGCCTTTCACCACTGGATTTAGCAGCAGACTGATATAAAAGTTTTGAAAGTGTTAAAAGCTGTTTTATTTCTTGCTCTGTGCAGGTGGGATCGGAGAATCGTACAGGAAAAAGCCAAAAACATTCAAAGGAAAAGGACACAGTTTTTTATTTGGTTAGAGGAAATTTATTTTACATTGTGCTTTTGTGTGTGTGTGTGTGTGTGTGTGTGTGTGTGTGTGTGTGTGTGTGTGTGTGTGTGTGTGTGTGTGTGTGTGTATGTGTGGCCTAGCATTACTATACTTGTGGGGACCTAAATCTGTTTACACAGTCACGTGTGGGGACTCGCCTCCCTCATGGGGACAAAATGGAGGTGGAATCATTCATTTTAGGGTGAAGACTTGGTTAGGGTTAGGGTTAGGGTTAGGGTAAGGGTAAGGGTTAGGGTAAGGGTTAGGGTAAGGGTAAGGGTTAGGTTTGGGTTAGGAGTAGGGTTATGGATTCCAGTATGGGATTGGGTTGCACTGGCCTAGGGGTCTGTGGATGGGTGTTGTGAGTGTGTTTGTCTGTTAGTGTTGGGGTACATGGACCAAGGAGGAGGAGTAGTTCAGATCATCCCTGGGACTGTTGGGCAGAGGAGAGGGGGGATCCAGAGGAGATACGTCTAAACGTCGTTGAGTCCCCTGGGTGTGGTTGTCCCGAGTTTCTGGATCCAAGATGTTTCTGCCCTTGGTTAGGGTTAGGGTTAGGGTAAGGGTAAGGGTTAGGGTAAGGGTTAGGGTAAGGGTAAGGGTTAGGGTAAGGGTTAGGGTAAGGGTAAGGGTTAGGGTAAGGGTAAGGGTTAGGGTTAGGCATGTGTTGGTTATGGTTATGGTTAGGATAAGTCTCCAGGAAATGCATGTAAGTCAATGTAATGTCCCCTGAAGTGATGTATACATGGTATGTGTGTGTGTGTGTGTGTGTGTGTGTGTGTGTGTGTGTGTGTGTGTGTGTGTGTGTACAAATCCTCAACCCAATTACCAACACTGATGCTGACTGTAGCACACTACTGCGGTCTAGTGGTAGATCACAGCAATGATATATACTGTAGAGAAAAAACATAATTTCTACTATTGGTTGTGCTGTTGATGGATCTATTTGGGTGTTTTCTCTAGATTTGTTATGATGTACTGATTACATTCAGCCACTCTAAAATAACAAACACATAAACAACATTTTACAATTGTTCTAGGGGGGGGGGGGCTCTCCAGCGAGTGAAAGCTAAACCTGAGACTCACTCACCTCTGATTTGGAACACACTTTGTTTGCTTGGCGTTTAATGTGACATCACCTCGCTTTATATGTGTTTCGTGCACCTTTTTCATAGCTTACTATCCGGTGTATGCTTACAATCTGACACCTGGTCGCTACGATTTTAGAGGTTGACGCCCAGCAACTTCCCAAAAGAGAAATAGGTGAAGGGGTCATGCAGATACAGATACACACCTCTCGAGGGTTGTAAATGATGATTGGGAGGATTTCTATACGTGTTGTTTTTTTAAAGAAAATCCTACACATTGTGTCTCGAATGTGAGCTCATTTTAAGTTTCCACTGTACAATTGAATCCTTCATCCTGCCTGTTCCAGTTATATTTGTTAATGGCTGTATAATAATAAAAGCAGGGATATTCCACATACAAATACCTTAGCTGAATGCATTTTCAACCCTTAAAAAAACGTACATTTTCTGTGTTTTTCACCCATTAATACAACAAAGCGCACCATTGTATGCCAACATTTAAACTTTTATCGTTCAGCAGGCTCTTGTTCTGCCAACTCCACTCCACTCCAAGATATCCATTCCCCCCTCTGTCATTGAATGGATTGTCTACGGTGAATGATGGAGTAATAAATGACTTTCACTAATCCCCGCTCTTATACAGTAGCACCGGGAAATAATTGAAGATTGATTTACTTCCACCTATCCAAACCACCCCCCACATACACACATCTCTCTCTCCTCCTGCCTCTGTCTGTGTGTTACAACCACACACTCTCCCCCTTTCTTTACACTCACACAGACTCACACTTCTCCCAATATGGCGGTGTGTTTGGCAGCAGCGGTGCTAGTTCAGGCGGGCAGAGTTCCCAGGTCTGGACTCAGGGAGAGCAGGTGTGCTGCTGTCAACAGAGGCTCATAAATACTCCGGCAGCGATCCGAGATGGATTACATGTTCATGTCATCATATTAAAGGCTCTTTGTCAGCAAACACTTCTAAGAACCTATAATCTTCCGCCTATGAGAAAAGTCTTCTCTGCATACAAAGGGAGTTTACGGTTGCTCAACAAATTAGTCCCTCAATTCACAACCAGAGGATGTATTCATCCCTCAGGGTGTGTGTATACGTTGGGTGTGGTGCATTGATTGTTATAGTGATTATTGGTTCTAATTGAAATTAATATGGCAAAAAAAAGAAAATATTCTACCCATAATATTGATACAAGATGCCCCCTTATGTGTATGTCTTTGTGCATATACATCTTCCGTTTCATTTTTGGAAGATGGGTGTAAGATTACATTTGTATTATTTGTAAAAAGTAATATATAAAATCTTTAATTACATAAAATGTTAAGACTTCAAAAAAGTTGCCCGGGTAGTCTTAGTAAAAAAAATATATATATATCTCCCCACAAGAACAGGATGTTTCACCCCAAAAAATATTTTAAAATGCAGTTTTTGGGGGGGCAGTAGCTCAGTCTGTAGGGACTTGTTTCGGGAATCGAGGGGTGTTTGTTTCAATAACTAATAAAAGTCTGTCCTTCTTTAAAAAACATCAAAATATCCTGAAATGATTGCACGTATTGACCACCATTATTACCCTGTATCTATTCTTCCACTTCCCTCTCTCTATTTCCTCTTCTTAACAACTACTTTTTTCTCCCTCTTGTAACAAAAGATGTCTAGTCAATTCTCACCTGCCATGTCTGACTTCACATGCAAACAGTACAGCTTACTTAACATGCAGACTAAAGATGGCATTACAGTTTTATCACCGTTGAAGCCACACACCTTGTACAAATATGTACACAACAGTGACATGTTTACCACTCTGTATGTTGTTGTTTTAGTGTCACGTTTCCCTCCCTCTCTGCCCCTCTCTCCTCTGCAGCCCCCTGAGACCCTGCTGTGTCCAAATAAAGGCTGCAAACAGCACCAGCGGCGCCCTGACTGGATGTTTTCCCATATTACCCACAGTGCTTTGCCCACTTCCCCTATCACCATTGGTGTTGCACTCTCGGCAGCTCCACTCGTGTTCCTCCTTCAGGACGCGATCGGTGTGTTTCCCTGCATGCTCAGAATAAGCCCAGAGATCTCCAATTACCCTCCTCTCACGGATTGCTCGGTGTCACTCGCCGCCTGCCGGCTGGATCTGATGTTTCTGCGCCTGCAGTGTAAAAGGATAGTTGTTCAGTTCTCCTGGCGCACACTGTGCCTGTTACAACTCAATTGGAGCAATTTTAAGACATAGCAAAGCAACCAATTGACAAAATTCAAGCTGAGGGGCTTGGGCTTGTTCTCACCCACTTTAGCCCAACAGACACATTATTTTAGTTCACCTGTTAAAGCACAAGGGGTTAAGTTTCCCGGCATGGATCCATGGTATGCTGCAGGGGATTGTGGGATTGAGACATTTCTCCAGAGAGTTGGCAGGCACACTTCTGACTAAAGGAGAAGAGGAGATCAGAGGAGAAATGATATTCACCCCTACTTAAAGCAGATCATAATGAATTGTATACTGATTGACGTTCTGTAATTTGGGTTCTCATGTTTAATTGCACTTATAGTAAGTTGTTTTGGATAAAAGATGCTAAATGTAATGATAAAATATAAGGCTTAATTCAGTCGGACAGCCTGAAACCAAAGACGTAACAATCATTCCTCTGACACTTGGATGCAGAAGTTGTCGAGATATCAGATTTTGAGAAACCCAGACAGCACACTCCTCACTCATTCCTCCAAAGTGAAACTAGATTGTGTCGGAATAAGCTCCCATTTTGCGCCATGGAGAAGTCTTTCTGCTGCGGCGACTGTATCGCGTCCTCACATGTACTAGCTGCTAAGTCCAGTGAAAAAAGAGTTGACTGTACTGAAACACGGTAGCAGTGCACCGGCTGACCTGATATGGCTGACACGAGGCCTCTGAGGACGAGTTTACGTGACGGGAAGGGGGGAGTATAGCAAAAAAAAGCTGAATTACAGTAAAGGCAGGAAGAAGAAGAATGGAAACACTATCCGTCCATCTCTTTTGCTTCAGAATCCTATGTTCTCTTTTATTTATAGCTCTTTTGGACACCAGAGGTGGACTGAATGGTGATATTTGTCGCCTCCTGGGAACAGCATCCTGATGCTGTCAGGGTGTGTGAAGCAGAACTCCAGCATCAGTGATTTTGTTGCCAGGGGGAGGACTGTACCAGCAGTAAACGTATTCATAAAAGTGACTGTTTGGAAGTTACATGATAAAAGAGAGGATGAATGTTACAGTGCAAATGAAAGCAGCAGCAGAAGTACTGGAGCATATTAACAGTGATAGTATAGAAGTTGTAAGAACGATGTAGTGGTAGCATTTGTGTATCTATTTCAATGAGTAAAAATCAGTGTTGGGCAGTAATTAAGTACATTACCTCAAGTACTGTACATAAGTAGAAGTATGAGGTACTTATACTTCTACTTTTCTACTACTTTGTACTTGTACTCCACTAAAACTAGGAGACAAATATGGTCATTTATGCGCCACTACATTCGTTTGATAACGTTGGTTATAACTTGAAGATTAAGATGGTTTAAACTAAATATAATCAACAAATAATTGATCAGGTATTATTTTATGTTATAGGTTATTAAAGTGGTGACATACTGTATATTGTTCATTAACCGTCCTGTTGTACTCGGGTCAAATTTGACCTGGGATAAAGGTATGTCAGGATAATAGGTGATAAATGTATGTTTGCTCCACGAGAAAATAATTATGGTCACTTTCATTAGGTTTTGGGTTTTATTCAAATGTATAGCAGATGTGGTCAAACCGGGAGGACAACAGCCGCACAGTTGATACTGTAGGAAGACAACACTAAATGGTACGAACAACTATGACTTTCTTTACTTAATTATCTTTTAAATGAACAACAACAACAACAACATGTGTAATTTATTGCGTAATTCCAACAGGATATAACGAAACTGAATAGACCCATTACCACCCAGCTGTATATAGTTAACATAACTCCCAGCTGATTTCCCAACTGCAACATTAAAGTGATGGACACATTGATGCATCAGTAATATATATTCAAAAAAAAAGCTGTTGTGCAATATGAGTATGTAAGTGTCTGACCTGGTGTCAACTCTGTAAGCAGACACTCTGCAAGGGATGAGCTCCTCCTGCAGGCTTGGATGTATGGGACAGCTGATTTTTGCATGTGAAGTACATTTTAAAAAGGCAATACTTTTGTACTTTCACTTGCTAAACTGTAATATTCCTACTTGTATTTAAGTAAAGGTTGTGAGTACTCTGTCCACTACTGGTACAACTTGAAATAGCTGCATCAATGAAAGCAGCAGTAATAGACGAATGTGTACAAAGAGGTATTGTTTTATACTTTATGGCAATGTATGTGTATAAACCACGTTTTTAAAGTGTAATTTCATGTTTGTTTTTGAGAACCTGAGAATAAATGAAGAGCTGCTGCAGTTCTCTCCTCTGCCTCAGTGCTGCCTGCAGTTCTGCGTTCAGCCTCTAGAGGGAGCTAATGTTCACTGTTGCATCTGGTAAGACCATGCACCAAAAATAGTTTACTTATATGCAATTTTAATCTGATCAATTTAGTGTATGAAGAAATGTTCCAAAACACTGAATCAAGAATACATGTATGATCTTATAAAACACATTGTAATGCCACACTCTAGTGTTTACAGTAGGTAGTAGTACTTAAAGTTGGGAGGCGTGTGGCGCAGTGGATAGAGCCTTGGTGTTCGGATCAGGGGAGCACAGGTTCAAACCCCACTGTTCAAACCCCACTGCAGTCAGCATGTCGTTGAGACACTTCACCCCAAATTGCTCCTGTGGGGATTGTCCACAGTATTGAGTATGTAAGTCGCTTTGGATAAAAGCGTCTAACAAGTGACATGTAATGTAATGTAAAACCATCCAACAATTAAATAAATAAAGCTGTAACAACTCAGCAAAAATAAACAGAACAGTTCATCTAGATCTATTACTCATTTCACTTGAGAAACTGGGCAACATATTTACTTGTGAAGACAGCTCTATACTGTCATAGATTATCTTGTTTCACTGGGCATAATCATCAAGGTGAAATGTGTGTAAAAGGTGATGACTGCAGGGAAAAGGTCCTGACTGGAAATAAAGCTCATTAAAAGACAAATAAAACCTGGTTAATGTAACAAAAAAAGGGGAATTCTTCAATTATTATGAGTCCACAACCTGGAAACCGAAAGATATGTTTGATGTGCATTGCCAGAGTTACTGATTTTGTGTTTGCATGAATGTAGGCATGGTAAAATGATTAAGAATTGACAGTCACTCTTGTCTAAGTCACTGTGACATCCACTGTCATGTTGTGTTGCATTAGCCCAGATAAGGTATTGATCCTTCCTGCTCTGAGCTGCTGCAGACAGGCCAGCAGCCTCCAGGGAGCTCGCTGTATATCTGAGATCTTTGTCCTTCCTCTGTCCTCACTTCCTCCCTCTTCATCACCTCCACTCACTACCTCCTCTGATCTACTCTCCTTATTTCATTTCCCCCACCCGCCTCCTCCTCTTCTCTTTTTCTGTGAATAACCTTCATCTCCTCTCTCTCCGTCCATATGTTTCTCCTGTGGTTCCCCTCAATGCCTCAGTGTCCACCGTGCAGCAAGACTAAATGAGCGGGGCTCGCACAATGCAAGGTAGGGAAAAGGAATATTCTGGTGTCATGCGTGGGGAGGATGCAGAGAGTGTTGCAACGCATTTTGCAGCGTCATGATGCAGCAAATTGCGAAAGCAATGCATATCGGTTCAAACATATGTTCTTCGCTTTCTTTTTCCAGAGTTAAAATACTTCAGGGATGGAGCTACGCTGGTGATTTCATTGGACGGTTTTAATTGGCTTCCTAAAAAGAGATGCAGTGACAAAGAAATCAAGAAAAGGTATTATTTATATCTTGTTAACTTGGATGTTTGTGTCTTGTTTTTGGTGGATTAATGGATGTCTATTTGTGTACTGGCTGTTTATAATCTGTTTTTACCCTGACCCCTCCACCTGTTACACGGTCGGGTGTTTATTTACCTGAAACAGGGGAGATTACAGGCTTCACGGCCTAATGAATGCATGTGTGTGTGTGTGGGTGTGTGTGACCTACAGTAGTGTGTGTCCTTTCACATCCTTTACGTCACTGCTGCTGTGAGTCAGCTCCCCTCTTCCTTTCCTGAGTCACTCATCCAGCGGTTGCTTGGTTACTGCAGAGCGGTAAAAGTTTCCTATTGCGTCTTTGTCTCCGCGGATGGATGGGCCCCGATATTTATTCAGGCTCAGGAGTGAGTGGCCAAATAATGCATGTGTTTGTGTGCACGCTGTTTCATCAGTTTTAGTACATCCTGTTGTTAACAGACACTCGAGGGGCTGTCTGTGCACTGCAGCTGACCTCTTACATTTCCAATGGATCAGACAGAAATGGAATAGTATTTGACCGTAATAGGAGATTATTTTTAAGAAAAGCTGATTTATTATTTTGAATTAAAGTGCCAGCCAGTGTGCACCAGCTAAAAACCAAAAACTCTTTGACTAGGCCCTTTAACAGTCACTTAAAAACACGTTATTAAAAGGAAGATATATGCAACCAACATTGTAATTGGTATGACATTATACTTCTTTTGCTATATGCTTTTTCAAAATGTAGGGGGAAGGCTTAAAAATGTCACTCAAAGGAACACGTACCAAACAGGTGGGGACTAAAAATTACCACAAAGAAACTGAAAATGATGACAAAGAAATGCAAAACAACTGCGAAGTCACACAAACTGACTCACGGCTATTACAAGGGGAAAACCCAACTAACAAAGAGACACAAAATGACCACAAGTAAAGACAAAATGATTACAAAAAGGGACCTTATTTCGAAAAGAATAATGGTGGTTAAAGGCAACACACTTTGTGATTCTGTTTAAATTGTGTCTTGAGATACAAATATGATGTTTTTCAATTTAAGATTATTTTAAAGTAAAGATTTGTTGTAAAAGTATTGAAGTATGAAGCTGTGGAAAATACGTCATTAGAAAAACTACCTACCCCAAAGGTTTGCAGGTGACGTCATAACTTTCTCTCTCACTGAAGTACGATGTCTGCATGTTTTGGGACTAACTCACACAAGCAACAGGTCTTCGGAAGTTGCTGAAAAAAAAACCGTCATGTGTAATTCATTACATAATTCAAACGAGATACTTTTTTAGTTTTTTCCCATTCATTTCATTTCAAACCTTTATTTAACCAGATTGGTCCCATTGAGATCATAGATCTCTTTTTCAAGGGAGACCTGCAGCATATAGGTTCCACATGAAACATAAAACAATAAAGGACATCATACATTATATTTACAGGATACATTTACATAGTTATAGACATTTACAAGTACCCATAGTATGAACGAGCATTTCATTTAGCCTAGCTTTAAAAACATGCAGAGGAATGAGATTGCTCAGTTTCAATTCTTGCTGAAGATTGTTCCAAGCAAGTGGAGCTGCGCACATAAAAGCTGTCTTACCTAAGACAGTCCTTGCTCTTGGCACATCTAACAATACTACATCATGCGATCTCAGACAATAGCTGCTTGCAACTCTCTGTGTTATCAGAGAGCAGATATAATACGGGAGTTTACCCAACAAAGCTTTATAAATAAACGTGTACCAATGACTGAGCCTCCGTACAGTAAGTGATGGCAAACCTGCCTTGGCATACAGGGTACAGTGATGTGTAAGTGCTTTACAATTTGTGACAAATCTCAGTGCACGGTGATAGGCGGCATCTAACTTGTTCAGGCAATGGGCAGGTGCATTCATATACAACAAATCACCATAGTCCAGCACTGGTAAAAAGGTCACAGAGACTTTTACTGGCCTCAAGTGAGAAACAGGACTTGTTCCTGTAGAAGAAACCTAGTCTAACCCTCAGCTTTTTAAGCAGGTTATTGACATGAAGTTTAAAAGTAAGACAATCATCAAGCCAGATACCAAGGTATTTATAACAGGCAACCACTTGTAGTACTTGTCCTTGCATAGTAACAATATCTAAAACAGGCTCTGGTGTCTTTTTAGCTTTTGAAAAAAGCATTACCTTGGTTTTATCAACATTTAAAAGAAGCTTAAGTTCAGATAGCTGAGTCTGAATAATGTTAAAAACAGCCTGTAATTTAACAACCGCCTCCTTAATGGAGGGACCTGCACAGTACATCACGGTATCGTCCGCATAAAAATGTAAAGTAGCTTCATCCACATTTTCACCTAAACTGTTGATATATATGGAGAATAAAAGTGGACCTAAAACAGAACCTTGAGGAACACCATTAGCAATGTGCAACCACTCAGAAGAGAGCCCATCAAAGTGAACACATTAGGACCTTTCAGAGAGGTAGTTCACAAACCACCCCACTGCATGGCTGGATAAGCCAATACTGAGTAGCCTCTGCTTTAAGATGCGATGATCGACGGTATCAAACGCTTTAGAAAGATCAATAAACAGAGCTGCACAACTCTGCTTATTATCTAAAATACTCGTAATGTCATTCACCACTTTCATTGTGGCAGTGATGGTGCTATGTTGCTTTCTGAAGCCTGACTGATGTTTAGACAGGATATTATTTTTACATAAAAACTCCTTTACCTGTTCACTCACTAGGCGTTCGAGCATCTTCGCCAGAATTGACAATTTAGAGATTGGCCTATAGTTATTTAAAATAGTTGCTTCCCCTCCTTTCAGCAAAGGCAAGACATACTGTAAGCTGACTTCCATACTTTTGGAATTGCATTTGTGCTGAGGGAGAGGTTAAAAAGAGTAGTGAGAGGTGGAGCAATAAAATCTGCAGCTATCTTTAAAAAGAAAGGTTCTACGTTGTCCGGGCCGGCCGGTTTCTTAGGATCTAACTTAGATAATGCTTCATGAACAACATTAACAGTAAAAGGAGTAAAACTGAAAGGGTTTTCCAGACCACATTGTTCAGAGTCACAGACTGTGGTGTTCACAGAAGCAGAGTTAGTCACAGAATCAAACAGAGAGCCACAGGACACAAAATGCTCATTAAAGCAATGTAACATAGTAGCCCTGTCCGATATAGAGCCAGATGCTGTGGTAATGCACGGAGGTAGCTCATTACGGATCTCACCGGTGGATATCGATTTTATGGCTTTCCAAAATGTCCTAGGATTATTTAGGTTTTCTGTGGTAACTGACAAATAGTACTTCGACTTAGCACTTTTGACATGTGAAGTGAAGCTATTCCTTAGCTGCCTAAAACGCAGCCATTCTACCTCTGAGCCTGATTTCCTAGCCTTTGCCCAGGCCTTGTTTCTCTCATGCAGGAGACTGGACAGTTCAGCAGAAAACCAAGGATTGTCTCATCCTTTTACTCTAAATGTACGCAGGGGTGCATGTCTATCAATGATCTCCATAAAACCAAGATAAAAATAAGACCATGCAGTTTCTACATCAGCACACAGATCGATGTTTCCCCAATCAAACCCAAACAGATCATGAACAAAACCCTGCTCCACAAAATGTTTTATGTCTCTCTTAATAATAATACGAGGTTTAACCTTTTGGACCTTAGTGTGGCTAACACAGTGGTCACTCACATCATTCGCAAATACTCCCACAGATGAGTATTTATAGGGAACATTAGTTCGAATGAGATCAATTAGGGAGGATTTATTAGGGGACTTAATGTTAGGGCGAGTAGGACTGTCAACAATCTGAGTAACATTTAAAGAGATACAAAGGTTTTTAAAATCCTCTGACAGTTAACCAGTCCCAGTTAAAATCTCCAAGTAGCACTATTTCCTTGTAGTCAAGTTGCAATAAAAGATTTGCTAGTTGATTACTGTTCATACTTTTAGCTGAAATAAGGTCGTATAGGGGAGACTACACAGGGTGGAGCTTTGTCCATCTATACAGGGAAAAATGACTATTATAGGTAGTAAAAAAAACTGGCTAAAACTACAAAAATATGACCTGAGTGTTGTGCCTGTTTACAGGTTGTGCGGCTACACCCTGTGTTTTGAAGTGAGTCTTTGCACGTGTTGACAGTAGAAACTCTACAGTCCACGCTTACCACAGTACGGTTAAATACATCTAAATATAGTTAGATACACACACACCCAGCCATCTGTCATTATAGGATGATTAGAGTTGTTTGACAGGCCCACAAATGTTTGATTTCCTTTATTTGTTCGTAATGACATAATAAACAGAACCAATGCAAACAATAGTAGTCTGAATAAGCTGTTGTGCATTACCTTACAGGAATGAAGAGCTCCAGCTGTTCATATCCTCCGATCAGATGGTCCAGGCTGATGAAAAGCTGCAGACCATCACCTGCATCCTCGATCAGAGAGGAACTGCATCCTCTGAGTTATGGCGGAAGACTGACTGCAGATCCAGTCTGGTAACGTCGCCAAGACCAATCTCTACCCCTCCTCAACATCAAACTTCAACACTCACTTCCTTCGTTTCTTTTGTCCCAGATTACCCAAAGGACACCCCATGGACGAGACTAATTCTTAGCATGCAGGACATTTTCAGCTTGATCAAAAGGGATTCAAACATGGTGACCCCACATGACTGTGTCACAATGAATCAGCTTAATAGGTTTATCATTTTCTGTGATGAGGACATACCACTTCAACGTTTTGGGGACATAACCGCGGAGGATTGTCGGATATCTAAAGGGGATACTGACTGGCATTTTAGTGATACCAACATGTTAAGTGATTTGAAAAACTTCACTGCCCATGCTTCCAACACCAAGAACTCTAACAGGAATACACATGAACTGGTTATCAGAGACAGTTTTAACAACCTTAAAAGTCTTCTGAAGTCGTATCAAATATGCGATTCACCAGGAGAATTGTCTCGGACGAACATGGATGTAAAACGGAGGAAGAGCGTGTCCTTTCATGAAGAAGTCATTGTCTTCCTGTTTGATCAGGTACTGGTTTCCTATGTGGGTGTTTGGCTTTGTTTCTCAAGTAGAATATGCACTTTAAATTCTCTATTAATTCACTATTTTGATCTTAACAAAGGATATGACACTTCCATAGTTTCCTGTTTAATTTAAACTGACTTTCCACTGTTGCTGTTCTTAGGAGAGTCCCACCATGGAGCTGCACCCTGAGGCCTGCACATCTCTGCCTGATGTCACATTAGAAGACAGTGGTACTATTTTTAAAAGATGATATCAGTGGTTGTATCCCTAGTATTTCATATAATTAACACCTTTGACCATTTTGCAGTAGTGGAAAGTCCGATTTAAGTACATTTACTCATACTTAGTGTAAATTAAGTAAATGAGTATAACATGTATTTTGTCCTGAAATGTGGATCTGCATCCAATATTTAAAAAATGATTTCAGGGTGAAATAGGACCAAGATGTTAGGAGGGATAATTAAAACAAACAGTTATTCTTTTATTGAAGAATTGTATTTGTTGTAACTGGTCGAAAATGAAACTGAATATATTTGCTTATGGCTTATATATATTAAAAAATTATCTATAATATTAGCCACACTGAATACTTAAACTGAAATTCCTCTGACAGTGTACCAAGATCAAAGCGTGAAAATAACTTTAATGTTCGATGCAGCTGTTGATGCTGCTAGATATTGGCACTTCATCGTCACTAACTGTGTGTTTTACCTGCAGGCCTGGAGTGGGAAGACGACTTCTTAGCGTTGGAGAAGAACTGCCATTTTCAGTGTGTCACACACTCTCAGCCACACACCCTTTCCCTGCCGACACCGACCACCGCTGCTTTATCCCGGCATCTCTTTCTCTCCCAAACCTGCCTTTTCCTCACCCATGTCACAGAGGCAGACCTTGAGCCATGAGATAAAAAAGGTTAATTACACACGCACACACATTCAGTTGTACTGGTGCTGTTTTTTATGAACCAGTGGTGGTCAAACAGCCAAAAGGCCAGCTCACTGTCACCGTGGTCTAAAGTGACATCCACACTTGTTTTTCTTTCAGACAGCCAGCCTTGGCCTAATGGAAAAACTGACTAATCGGGCAGATCTGGTCCTCTTCACCTTCTCCCTCCTCTTTTATGATGAGTCAGGGCCTTTAATGGCTTTTCTCCCTCTCTCTGCTTGAAAGCACCTGCCGTTCGTGACATCAGAGCCACGCAGGACTGTGTGACGGTGCATTCAGCTTTCACAGTTGTTGGTGTGACAAGATACCTGGAAATTATGTGAGAAAAAAAAGCCAGTTGCATAAAAGTCTTAGTACCTTTCCATCTGTGGACCTCTTTGGAAGCTGCTTTTCATGCCAGGTTATGTCCTTGGACCTTATCTGTGAATAGAAACACACATTTAAATTTCAATAAACATAATTTACTAAAATTGTGTCTGAAATCTCGTTTAAGTTGTTGTTAGAATTCCAGATTAAGGAGTTTGTGTTGTTTATTTATTCAGTTTGTTGTCATGCTTGTGGAGGCCCTGTTTGCTCGCCTCATTACTAAAGTGTATTCAGCTCAGAATTTATCAGCGGCTGTGGCTGAATCAACAGAGTAAGCCGGAGGGCCAGTGGAGCCAGAAACTGAACAAACTAAAAAGTAAAAGATAATGTTTCCACAGTGGCAGCATCAGCGAGGTTTGGTTGATTAGATACAGTGTACCTGAGGAAAGACACACACACACACACACACACACACACACACACACACACACACACACACACACACACACACACACACACACACACACACACACACACACACACACACACACACACACACACACACACACACACACACACACAAGCTGTTCAAGGACACCAGTGTTTGGCTCTTGCTGGGAGTGTCACACCTGGAATTTTGTTGTTGTTGCATATTTGTGATATTCTCACATTAATGATAATGTTGCTAAAAGCCAAATTACACTGTTATCTTTTTACTTAAATCCTAGAATACTCTTTGGTAATGTCCTATTCTCAACTGTAGGCTTCTACTATGTTCTTTGAATTATTTCTGTTTAAGCTTTTTCTGGTGTTACTTTACAAAAGAGTTCACACATGCTATTACAGGTTTTCCTTTAAACTAACGTGCCACTTAGCTTCAAAATAGTAGCATTAAAAGGGAAAACATCTGGATTATTTATTAATACTCTCTGTTTTGGCAGAAACTTAACAAACACCATGTGGATTCATTAAGACGTTTCCCTAACTCATTCATTCAATATTTTACTCGCCTCTCTCTGCTACACCGATGCTGCATTTTCTTGTAAGGAGGCGCTTGCTAGCTGCTAGCTTACATTTAGCTTTTCCTCAGTTTGGCTCCTGAACATCATGGATTGGGTATAAAATGTATGGTAAATGTAAATGTTTAGCCTAGTTATGAACTTTAGAAATCATGATTATAATGTATATTATTAGTACCATTAAACTAACCTACTCTAAGTGAGGCTAATTTATGACAACAGAATATAAAAGAACAAGCTTGCTAGCTGCTAGCTAACACTTGGCTCAGTTTGGCTCCTGAACCTAATGAATTAAGTAAAGTAAAAATAACTTTTTAGTAGAGTTATGATCTCTACAAATGTAAGCTACCCTACTCTTAGTAAGGCTCACCTATGACAACAAAAAGAAAAGCACATGCTCTCAAAACACACTTAAAGTAGGCTACTAATGCATTAAATAACAGGTAAATCTTAGTCTACAAAAACTAAGATTACAAAAAATTAAAAAACAAATAATGTCTGAATAAGACTAAGAGACTTTAGAAAGGTGGTGGAAATCCTGACTACCACCATAGATAAACCACTATATTAAACCAATTTTGTCATAAAAGACTACTTCTAAACAAATACTTTTATGGCAAACACACCACTCTGTCTTTAGTTATCACAGCAGGTAAAGGACAATAATCCCAACTGCCAACATTGTTTTCAGGTCAAACAGACTTCAGATCCCACATATGAGTGGGTAAGGCGTAGGCCTAAGTGGGTGATTTAAAAAAAGCTAATTATGTTATTATGCTGTCTTCTTGTTTGTTTGGTATCTGTGACCCTTGTAACCCTTTACAATTCGTCTGTGGTTAAAACAGTTTGTCTGGTCAACAAAGGGATAAGTGTGGCTCTGTACATTGAGGTATAGCCTGCAGGACTGTATTCAAATGAAGCAGCTGAAGGTGATAAGCGACAATGGAAATTACGTTAACTGCTCAGAGTTGAGGACCGGACGAGGAACCAAAGATTTTGTGTTTTTCAATACTAACAACTCAGAAAATCAGAGAATCCAAAAGCAGAAATTCATAGCAAGGTAATGGCCAAAATCAGTTATTACAGGGGTGTTCATGCATGTAAACTCAGGGCAAAAAGCATTAAATATATCATCTTTATTTAGTCCAGGCCAAATAATGTAATGTACAAATGTTAAATATTGTACCAATGTGGTTTTAATATGATGCTAAATGTGCTTGTATACTGTATATAAACACAAGTTTTAAGGAACTTGCACTTAATGATAATAATAATAATATTAATTTTCTATTTCAATTTTTGGGCACAACAGTGATATAATGAGCTGGTAATATTAGATCAGAGACATCCTACATACTTTACTTGTAGGCTAACTTATGTTATGTTTCAAGTATTGCTACTATAATGTAGACTAAGTAGATTTAATGATTTAAATACTGGAACACCAAGTGGTAGGTTATAATATAAAATGAGGATTTACTACAATGAGTCATTATATTATTTTCTTTTGGATAATTTTAGAGACTGCAGTCATTAAGACCTGATATTGTTGGCAGTATTATGACAGTGTGACAGTGACAGCAGCATGTGGGCGGGGCATAGAGTGAGTTCGCTCTCTGGTTGGCTGAGCAGCGCTACGTGTACATCAGTCCGCTCCAGGTAGCTCGCATGTGACAGTTATCTGCATGTGTGTGTGTGAGAGAGTGTGTTTGTGTCTGCTGCTCTCTCCTCTCTTCACTTTATATGATGGTGCATTCAATGACCGGCTGCATGATGACGATTTCCCCTTAAACACTCAGGAGGAGGAAAGTTAGTTTAACGTGCAAGGTAAGACTTTTTTATTTAGTTATTTAAGTTGTTTAAGATACTTTAATGGCTGCTGTGAATATAGTTTACTACAGTGAATGAGTTTTGCATGTTTATCTCATATCAGCAACCACAGATTAAACTTGGGTTAGGAAATTAAAGAGAGGGATGTTGATGTAGAAATGTCTCTTCCTTTATATCGTGTGCACATCTATGTAAAACAGCTTAATCTAATTTTTTTTGGCAGTTTTAACACATTAGCATATTTGATGATGTGGTTTAAAGCTTGCTTGTGAACCCCCTTTAAACTACCTTAAGTACAGCAAACTTCAACCTAACTTCAGGGTGTTTATAAATCATTGGTTTAAAAAAAAAAGTAAAACCCATGGGTTAGTTAAAGAGCATTTGAGGTGAATTATCGAGAGCTGGTTGGACTCCCTGTTCTTGTGAGTGTAACCTTGAAATGGGTATTATCACAGGAGTGTGGGGATAAGAGAGGCTAGATTAACAGAGCAACATCATGCCGTTTTCACACTGCAACAGGCTGATTAGATACAACAGGATGCTGGGCTGTTTGAGTTAGAGGGAGGCTTATTTAGCAAATGGGGATTACATGCTGCCTGGGAGAAGACTTTAAATTCATGTTAAGATGCCTTTGTGTATTTAAACTGTTCTTACTCTTGTGCAATTGTGGAAAAAGTACTCAGATATTTAAGTCAAGTAAAAGTAGCAATAGCAATTGTAAAAGCACTGTTAACATTTAAAGTACTGCATTCAAAATCCTAATAAAAAAAAACAAAAGTAATGGAATCAGTTTATACTTAAAGTACCGACAGTAAAAGTAATTGTTAGTACATTTATATTACTTTGTGTACTAATGCCAGATATAATACCCTATAATAATATGTTGATTTATTAGTTTATTTATATTTTGTATTAGATAATAATCTGAATCTGAGAATGGCTATAGAGCTGAAAAATACCTGTAGTGAAGTAAAAAGTACAATTTATTTTCTAGTAGAAGCATAAAGTAGCATACAATGAAACAACTCAAATAAATACCTTTAAATTATACTTAGGTACATTACTCGAGTACATGTACTTCACCACAGTCCACTGCTCCTGTGTAACACTCCCATCTTCTCTTCCAGGCCTGTTGAAGCTGTTGTATATAAACTTTGTGAGAAAAAGCTGAATCAGGATGAAGTCCAAAGGGAAGGCAGTGAAACCCTCCAGGAGGACGTGGTCCAACCCTGAGCCAGATATAGAAGCAGACACAGAACCAGAACCGGGCTCCAGTGAGCAGGAGGGCTCGGAGGCCTCGGTGCGGATCGGGGGCTCCTGGAGGGGGTCTCTGAGGGGCGGGGGGCGGCGGCGGCGCAGGACCCGCGGCTCCAACACCAAGGAGCGCAGCAAGAGGCGTCTGGAAAGCAACGAGCGCGAGAGGACACGCATGCACAAACTCAACAACGCCTTCCAAGCTTTACGAGAGGCCATCCCTCACGTGAACACCGAGAAGAAGCTGTCCAAGATCGAGACTCTGACCCTGGCGAAGAACTACATCAAAGCCCTGACTACCATCGTGGTGGACATGTCGGGGGCCGGCCTGCCTGAAGGGGGGGTTTCCTCAGAGGCCAATGCCGCCAAGCTGCTCCAGTGCTACCAGAAGCACCTGGAGGATGAAGGGGAGGACGATCTCACTCAGTATCTCACCCAAATGCACAGCTTCAGCCAGCGCAGCTAACAGAGGCTGCAGACCAGAGGTGTGTGTGGTGACCTTTAGGGCCAAATATCCCTGGGACCAGAAGTGGGTCTCTGCAGGAAGTGGGTGCTGTTCTCTGACAATTAAACCCAACGCTTGACCATCACAAAAGTGCCCTTCATGCAAAAAATAAGGAATGATTTAAGGACCATTCTAAAAAAGACTGCAGATCGTGGGTTATGAAGAGTAAGACGAGTCATGTGTTATTGAACTCAGGAACGAATGTTTTCGCAATTCTGTGTCTTTACTTCTCGTCTTCTATAGGCAGGAACTTGTTCTCCTTTGTGTTATCTTGTGATCTTCTTGTGTGTTTTTCTGTTGAGGAACCTGCCGAGCGTAGCCTCTAGTCACAACTGTCAGGAAGAAAGACAAGCGGCCGGCCTGAATATTGAAACGAAGCGAGAAACTGTGTTTGCTCATGACGACAATCTAACAGTCTTCTCACAGCGTGTGCACACAGATACTATTTAAAGTGTGTGTTATTTGACTAATTGTTTGTCTCCATGTGTCTCCAAGGCAAGACATTGTAGTGAATAACATCAGGAAAAACTATTTGGGGAGTTGCTATCAATAAACACATTTATTTATTGACAGATAAGGACTGTTACTTTGACCATGCACAACACTTGAGAAATGTACTCCACAATGTCAACAGCAGGGATGTGTTGCACGCTACAGTAACACAAAGCAATGTTAGTTATTCACAGATAAAACAGACGGATCTCTGTACACTTTCAACATTTCAACAAAGGCTGCATCATATTTAGACGATACATTATGATACAGAGGAATTTAGACAGCTGTTAACATAAATTAAAGCCTGAACGGATACTTATTAATGTTTTTAAAGTAAAAGCTCATGTCAAAAGTAGAAACACTATTCCAGCTTACTATTTTACCATTGCAGCACTATACTAAGTACATAATATTCATATTTTACAGATTTATAACAAAAATATAGTTGTTTTTGATATTTTCTTCTCATCGCTCAGTCATTCTACTAACGACAGGAAGTAAATGCCGACATGCAAACATGCTCCTGAGAAAGAGGAAGGTTCAGTTTTAGCATTTTTAACCACAGAACGTATACAAGTAATCCACACTTTTCCCTTATTTATAATGCTAACCATTGCACATACTCCATGAAAACTACATTTTAAATTAAAAAAATAAAAGCTTTATAAAACATCAGTTCACTGTTGGTACAAGGCAACCACCACAAGTAAATAAAGCCAGTGCATGTCTTGTTAAAGCTGCTACATACAGGCTCCAAAAGCACTGTAAATGTATAGAAGTCAATGGGAAAACCCTATCATTTCCTGTTACAATACAAAGCCATTTTTTTTTTACAATTAGTAAGCGCCTCAGTAGTACCAATAAAACACTAAAGCTCACAGAAAAGTGTGTGTGTGTGTTTGAGAGCTTGCCTTGCTTTAAAGATGTCCTAACTTCACACAGGTTCCACACACATTTGGACGCAATAAACCCAGAAATCGGCTTCAAAAGTCCTTTTTAGAAGATTCTACTGTCATGCTTTTCTGCCGTCTGTCAGATCGGAAAAAAAAAGGTCCTTATTTGCTCTATCCCGTTATCAGATTTCTTATGTTCCAGAGTAATCAGGCTTTAGTCTATTGGAAAGTGTGTTAACCTTTTGCCTGTAGGATAATATTAAGCATGTTTTTAAATGTTGTATTAAATACCAGCCCAGTGGCAGACAGTTAACAGTCAAGTAGCTTTAATTAAAGTACATTCATTTCATTTTATCATTAAAACCCTACCTTTCCAAGTTCATCTGAACATGAGGTACTCTATAGAGTCTATACAAAGAAACTACATACACATGATGAATAAATATGGACAAAATGCATTAAGACCAGTGAGTTCAATGTCAGTGAGCAAAGACAGATAGCAAAGGGAGAGAAATTCAGCTCATATGAGATTCTGAAAGTCTAAAACGGAGAACTTTCCGTGACCCTGACTGCAGGACGTGAACACTGAAGGCTGTCCTCCAGAGTTTAGAGCTGAATTAGCAGTGCTGCTACTCCAGTGTTAAAAGTACTTTTTAGTGTGTGTGTGTGTGTGTGTGTGTGTGTGTGTGTGTGTGTGTGTGTGTGTGTGTGTGTGTGTGTGTGTGTGTGAGTGTGTCTAGCATCCTACAGCATTGCCGTTGGCCTCCGTGCTCACGGGGAAGGAGCTCTGAGAGGCCAGGCCCCCCAGAGAGGGCAGACGGATGCGGGGCGGCTCCATGCAGTTCCCCCTCACTGTGATGTGGTCCCATCCACCCTAAAGGACCAGAGTAGAGGGAGAGAAATCAGCAGCGTGCATTTGTGTTTGTTGCAAGTACACATTTTCACTGGGCACAGAAAAAGGCTTTACAACAGTGTTCAATACCAGCCTGTTATACATTTATTTTTCTTTACATACAAGATACAGACACTTTTACATTTCATTCAATTACAATTAACCTATAGGGCAAATACATGCTATTTTCCTGTTCATCCACGAGGGCATTGCGGGTGTATTATGTGTTTGATACATTGCAAACACGTATAGAATACACCAGCATGTGTATCAGATGATGGATTGTGAACAGATAGTGAGTTAGTGCCTCACCCCGATGCCGTAGTCCCAGGACTGTCCTTTGGGCTCCATGGGTTGGACTCCCAGCCGATGGCACACTGTCCCACAGCTCAGACCATGGCTGCCCTGCACCTTGTCCGCTATGATCCACACCTACCCCACAACAACAAAACTCACCAAATAAACAAATGCAAGGGTTGTTTATAACCCCAAAGTGTTATTTCTTTGTGGATTCAATTGTTGACACATACATTTTGATATGTATATGAAAAGAATGTGTCCTGGTACTGACCTGGTCCAGAGGCCCTACGGAGACTTTGCGTACGTTATTGGAGATGTGTTCCCAGGAGGATCCCTGAGGGTAGCTGGGGGTCACACCCTGCCGGTACCACAGGTTACCTGCACAGGAAACACAAAAAACATCATTAGTCCTTGTTAATATTTAAATTAATGTTTGTCTAAAAGGTAAGCTCTAAATACAAATGCAATAGCCTCACCATTTTCATCTACAGTGTACACTGACGTCCTGCCGACAGACACCTGCTTCAGCTTCTGTTTGGCCGGGGAGGGGATGTGGTACCAGCTGTCTCCTGCAGAGGGAGACAAAACACAAAATATTATATTGGTAAAATCATCTTTGTTTAGATTAGATATGATGTAGTAGCAGTAGAAAGATATGTATCGATAAAGTATCTATAGAGTTCACAATATGAAATATACAGAAAAAGTTAGAAAACACTGAAGCTGACACGTTTTGTTTCCTAAAATTAATGCTCGTCTAATTTTCAAGTACATCTTATATTTCAAATTAAAATGTGACATTATCCTCGAACAATATTCCCAGTGTTTTCTCTGCAGAATATCACAGTTTGTCCCTCTGACCTGCAGGGCTCTCTGCAGAGACAGATCCTCTGTAAAAGGCAGAGCCGTCCTTGGCGATGGCCCAGACCTGGCTGGCAGCTCCGATGGAGATGGACTTGAAAGACTGGTCGGTTCCCACGTGGAGCCACGAGGATCCCTGAGAGACAACCGGACGATGTTAGGATGATTACCTCCAAGGCACATTTCAAAGTTGTTTATGCTGCAGCTACACTGGAGGTATTTGTGCATTGTCAATTGACCCTTATCAACAGGAATTAGACCAAAAAAAAATGTCCTTCTACACTTTTGCATACAAGACATGAATGATTGGATAACACCTCCAAAGCAAGGATGGATTATGTTCTGCTCAGTAAGACATTCAAAATATCTCTAAATGTTTCTGGGTGAGTCACCAGACAGTGTTTAACCTGTTCATGGGTTGTCTGTGTTGGTAAAGTAAGAGTGACTCACGGCAGGCGTCAGTGTGGAGACTCCCAGTCTGCAGAGCACGTCTCCCTTGTTGCTGATCGCCCACAGAGGAACCACGTCCACGCTGATCTGCGCAGCACACGGCAGGATGGTGACGTCACTCAGGGAGATGGGAGGAACCTCCTGCCACGGTCCGGTGGTCGTCAGTTTACACTTCCTGTGCACGAGGAAAAACACAATGCTCACAGGTGCCCTTCATTTCAAAATCTAAAGATGCTGCTTGAGTAAGATGTCGAGCAAAATAATGAAATAACCATAAATAATTCAGGTTAATGTGCTTTTATCAGGCCCATACAGCGAATTTGGTTCGTTGAAAGAATTTTGGGATTGATTGAAAACAGTACGCTCTTATTTTGAAAGGTGAAACCAAGTGTTAATATGATTGGAAGAGTGCTGATCATGTGACAATATAAAGTTCAAGACAACCCTCCCACACTGGAGCAATACATTAATTTCTGCATGTGTGTATATAGTTAGACTCTAAGCATTGTTGATGGGATTTGAATGAACAGACAAGGGACATTTTCTGACTAAAATCACAAAAAATCCTTGTTTTGTTCCAAAATAAATTCAGGAGAGTGAGTTATGTAGTTAAACATTTAATAAGTATTCGTTTTTTTTAATGTTAAATAATTGCTCCATTGGACTTTCAACATCCAGCATATTAATGTTCTAAGAGTGCCTTATTGTAAGGCTTGGAAAGGAGTAGGATTGTAAAGATCTCCATGTGTATAAGAAATATATACTGTGATTAACCTTTGTTCTACTGATTAATCATCAAATATAGTTTCCTGCACTGAACAAAGATCAACACAATCTCTCTGCTTCCTCTGCTAAAGCTCTGTTGACTTTAAAAAAAAAAAAGCCCGCGCACACAAACAAAAACTGCAAATGTCAAGTGCCCTGGCCCCTCTGTGACCGCTGGCACCTGCTGATCCTGAGAGTAATGTACCACTGTTGCTTTTTATAGTACCTGGCCCATCGCCTGCGACGCACAAAGTCCTTCAGCGTTTTATGGCCATGATACGACCTGCATGGATAGGGAAGAGGACAAGCAGGAAACAATAAATACATTTAAGTCATATCTGTTATGGCTGCAGAGTTTTTAAAAAAGAAAAAAGCCACAGCAGGTGGATTTTTGAGATATGGAAACCTACGCTGGAAAATCAGCCGCATACTGCCAGCCGTCTCTGTCCGCCCCCCCCGACACACTGTAGTCCACAGACCAGTCAGACATCTGATAACAGCAAAAACAGGAAGTGAAACACCATGGAAGAACACGTCGTTATTTCTGGATACACACCTTATCCGTGATCATTTAAGACTTGTTGGTCAATCTGTGTGTGTGTGTGTGCGTGTGTGTGTGTGTACTCACCCATGTCCACTGAGGGGAGGGGGGTTTCATATTTGTTTTTGTGCACTCATGAAGTCCTGATGAGTCACTCCACATGTAGCGGTCTGTAGGGAGCCCTCTGAAATAACCAAACACTTTAAATTAAGCCGGCATGTAACATTTACTTTAATTGTTTAATATTTGACTGAATAATCGATTAGTAGTTATGGTCTATAAAATGTCAAAAATGGTAATCATTGCTTCCTAGTAGCCCAAGATGACTTCTTAAAATGACTTGTTTTGTCCACAACTCGAAGATATTAAGTTGACTGTTGGATGGTGGTATCTATATAGGAAATGCCTAGGAATTTCCGTGTTGGAGACAATTCAGCTACCAAAGAAACGATTGCAAGAGTATGAGCTTGAGTCTCACCTGTTGGTGTATCCGGTGACGGGGTTCCACCTCTGGTTCTCATAGATGTAGACGCTCTTGGAGTCTGACTGTGTGTAGATGTTATCCGTGCTGCTGGCCAGGCCCTGGAAGAAGCCGCCTCCGTATCCTCCGGTGTGGACCCAGGCCGTGTGGTCGTAGCCGATCCCCCACACTATACCCACACTGTTGCACTCCACGATACGGAGGTGACCTCCTACCTGCCGCCAAAACCTGTACAAAAGATAGATAGATAGATAGATAAGTACTTTATTGATCCCAATTTGGGACATGTTTGCATTGCAGCAGCATAAAAAAAAAAATAAACAGTCCCAAAATATTTCTGAAATAGAAATAAAATAGCATTAAAGAGTTAAAAAATATACATCTGAAAAATATACATGTGGAAATACAAATAAGGAAAAGATGCTTCATAAAGGTGGAAGAATTTAGATAACTATAGTTTATAGCACATGTGTCAAACTCAAGGCCCGGGGGCCAAATCAGGCCCTTTGTGGATTTAATTTCGGCCCGCAGGATCATTTCTAATTCCTATTAGATCTGGCCCGCCGGTATATTGCACGCACACCTTCACTCAATCCTGAGGGTCTCCTCAGCTCAGAGCCTGACCCCAAACATTGATGAACTTGCACCCAAGATGAGATGCCAAGTATCTGGCTTGAGCTAGCATCACAGAGCAGCAAACTGAGTTCAATGGATGTTTCCTTCTGCACTTTCTTTCTTGAGACAACAGGGCATGTTTGGTTTTCTCTTTGAGGGAAATAGTTTTTTTGAAGCTGTTGTTGGCCTGTGGAGAAATGTAATCATAAGAAATGACTCAGAAAATCTGCAGATATAGCCATAAGAAATGAATGCAACTGATTATTTTTTAATGTTGTTTTTATAGGCAATAATTTAAGCTTTGTTAGTTCCAGGTTTAATATGTGCAATAAGTTCATTTCAATAAGCTTTGCAATAAACATTGAACCAGTCCGGCCCTCGACTAGTACCCATTTTTTTATTTTGGCCCACTGTGTATTTGAGTTTGACACCCCTGGTTTATAGACAAGTGATGCGTGGGTTTTCTTACATCTGGTCGCAGGGTGTGGGGTAAGGCATGGCCTCCAGACTGGGGGAGGGCTCACTGACGAAGATGTCTCCTTTGCAGGTGATGGACCAGGCGGCCTGTTTGGAGGGAGGACCCTGGATCCCTCTGGAGTCGCAGCAGGAGACGCTCAACAACGCCAGCTTCAGTCGGTAGAGAGGGGAAGGCAGACAGAGCGGGTCGGAGAGGGAGGGAGAGACGAATGAGAAGTTAAAAATAACTTTGTTGTCATTTTACTGGAGCGCAAGACAACAATACAACACAATGACGACGGCACTCCCTGATATTGGAAACAATAAAGAAAGAAGGTCGCAGTCAACAATATAAAAGAACAGTGGTACTAAAAGTGCTCTCTGAAATGCGAATAACAATAAACAATATAAGTATACAATCTCGCAGCGACAAATGTAAACCAGTAGCAGTGAGTAGACCCGATGGGAAGGCCAGTCAATGTAAACTATGCACCGTTATGGTTTGCTGTGTGTAAGTATTCATACGCACCCAGTCTTGCATCTCCAGCTCTGTAGCTGCTGAGAGTCTGATTGGCCACCTCTGTTTGGTCCGCTCAGGAGTGTAGATGGCAAAAGAGTGTTTGGAGTCGTTCAGCACGGGGACCAAGATGGTGACATCGTTGACGAACGCGTGCAGGTACTGCAGAGAGTAAATAGAAGTAGAAAGGATAAGAGAAAAGCATTATTGAAAACAGAAACAGCAGACGTTGACCTTGAGTATATCAAAAAAGATATCTTCCTCATTAATGCTTTGCGGCTGAATGTATTCAATGCTGTATTGACACAAGTCTAATCCACAAAGCACCAAGCTGAAAACACACACACTTTCTCACCTTTTTCTCCTCATAAAAGTTGTAGTAGATGAAAAGGATGCCGTCCTTGTTGCCCTCGGCTCCTGAAAACTGCTCAAGGGCAAAATGAACGTCGATCCACTTGTAAGGCTTCCAGTCTCTCCACCACTGCATGGTTCCCTTCTTCACCCACACCGACTGCGTTCAGACAGAGGAGGGAATAATTAGTGATGAATAAAAGAGGGTGGTCCAATACCACACAAAGACAGAGAAATAATGACTTGAAAAAGAACAAATATTCGGAAAATCAAGTATTAGAGCTCCTGATGTTGAGGTCACATCCTCTGTGCGTACCTGTTCTATGGCTTGTTCATAATGTCTGAAATTATCCATCTCTCTTTTGGTCCTCTCACTGAGCTGCTCAAAGATTTGTCTCCTCCAGGCGGCCGTCTGTGCCGGGCTGACGGACAGACTCATGGACTGGACTGACTGGACCAAAGCTGGGGAAGACAGAAAGAAAATCAATAACTGAAAAAAGGAAAGGAAACAAAATGGACCTCAGCTGAACCACTGGTTTCCTGCACATGTGGAAATAAAATGTAATCGTGTTAGCCTTGACTTTGGAGCAAATACATTACATGAAGAGTCACTATTGTGTGTTCTGGAGCTCAGATGTTGTTACATTGTATTTCCTCACATGCCTCCTTAGCTCCATAACTAAGTTTCCTTCAAGAATTTGAGGTATCACAAGGTTAGTAATTGATCATTTTGTACACTTTCCTTTTAGCTATACATATGTAGAGTCTAATCTAATACTAGAAAGTGATCTAATTTAACTCACATGAGGCGTTCATGGAGTTGAACCAGTTGAGTTGGGAGTGACTGTCCACGTTGCAGCCCCCCCCGCTGACCCAGGCCCACAGAGGGCGCTCATCTGCCCCGTACGGGTCCTCCATGGCCAGAGTGTACGTGGCCACTGACGACAGGCTGCAGGTGTCCACAGAGTCCAACACAACTCCAGTCTGCTGAATCTGCGCCTCCTCCAGATCCACGTTACACCACTGGGGGTCCTGAGGGGGAATAGCTACACCTGCACAGGGGTCTTTGAGATCCTCCTCCAGAGCGAGGGGTTCCTCCTCCAAAACAGCAGGGGGAGTTTCCTCTCTGGAAGTCTTTGCCGGTTCTCGGTCAGAGACGAGTTCAGAGATGAAGCTGTCGCTGGTGACTTTGGGGATGTGGGGTTTGGGGGTCTCGACAGGTTGGTCTGTGGGGGCATCAACGAGGGACTCGGGAGAGGAGGAGGTGACGAGGCCGGCGGCTCCGTCTGTAGATCCTCTCTCCGACTCCACATCGCTCACTGCTGACTGAGCGCGCACCTCACCACAGAAATAAATTCCAGCACTGTGACGTCGAGGGGGAGAAGATGACAAGTGTCTTACAATAAGTGCAATCAGACATAAGGATAGAAATTCAGAACAGCAAGAAACCTGTAAGTACATCAGCTTCAAATAGGACTTTTAACCTTTTCAAAGTGCTACAAACTGAAATTAAAAGGCGTTTGCTTCTTTTACAGAATGTATTTAAATGTTAATGTTGCACTGTTGAGGAATGTTTGTCAAATGTATGGTTGTGTGTGTGTGTGTGTGTGTGTGTGTGTGTGTGTGTGTGTGTGTGTGTGTGTGTGTGTGTGTGTGTGCACTGCACATCAGTACCTCTGCAGAGAGCTTGCGCTGGCACTGGAGTGGGATCGGTCTCCGTCTCGGGGGACAGTGATGGCCCTCCAGGTTTTCCCACTCAGCTCACTAGAGGTCACACCTTGTCTGAAGTACACCGCCCGATCCTCAGAGCTGATAGCCAAAACCTACACACACACACACACACACACACACACACACACACACACACACACACAAACACACACACACAGGGTTGGGTTGTAACGGAATACATGTAACGGTGTTACGTAATCAGAATACAAAAATCAAGTAACTGTATTCAGCTCGCGTTACATTTTAAAAACGAGTAATCTGATTACAGTTACTTTAGTAAACCTGAAGTGAATACATTTTGGAATACTTATTGGAATTATTGGTGGAAAGATTTCCTCACAACATGTAATATTCATTACTAAAGGTACAGCCGAATCATCACAGCGCACAAAACCTATTACCGCCGCAGATGGACCAAAAAAGGGAGTGTTTGAAAAAAATGTGCGGGTCCGCTCAGTGAAACAATAACAACGAAACATGGAGGAACAAAAGTCTGCGTTTAAATCGTGGCGATATCGACACTACAGGAAAACCTCCTTCACTTCATGAAATCTCTGCAGCACCAGGAGGCAGCGGGAGGGTTAACTCAGCCTCGCTAACGCCAGTGTTGGCGTGTGCCAACACTGGCAGGACAGAAGGCGACACGTCCGTTCTAAGCCGTGTCCCTCACTCCTCACATCCCAAGCTGCATCCCCAAAAAGTGTATTATGTTGTTACATCGTTTCAGATATTATGTTTCAGTTGTGCTCTTGATAAGCCATTAAAACAGTAAAAACACGTTCAGTTTCCTTTTGCTTTTTGTGTCTCCTGTTCACCAAAACATACCCATCTGTGATGGAAAAAGAAAGTAATCCAAAAGGACACACACACACACACACACACACAGCACACACACACACACACACACACACACACACACACACACACACACACACACACACACACACACACACACACACACACACACACACACACACACACACACACACACACACACACACACACACACACACACACACACACACACACACACACACACACACACACACACACACACACACACACACACACACACACACACACACACACACACACACACACACACACACACACACACACACACACACACACACACACACACACACACACACACACACACACACACACACACACACACCACACACACACACACACACACACACACACACACACACACACACACACACACACACACACACACACACACACACACCAGTTTTCTGCAGGCTGTGTGGTCACGTGGCTTTCATTTACCTGGTCGTTGAGTCCGACGTTGATCATGATCATTTCTCCCACCATGTTGATCCAGCCCGAGCCACAGGGGTTGTGGGAGTTAATGCCGCGTCTGAACCACACCTGGCAACGCAGGAGAGCGGGGACATTTTTAGCTAGAAACCCACATCTGCTTAAATATAGCAATGGTTAATATCAGTCTAGAAGTCTTGTTCCTCTTTGCTACTGCAGTTTTCCTAAGGGGCATATTGTGCCATTGAAATCACTCTGTCAGATCTAATTAAAGCTTTTTAGATACACTATATTTGTATTCCCTGTTGGGCTATAATTCTGTTTAACAGGATTATTTAACTCTGTACATGACTATCTAATGACGCCAGAGAAAATTGATAGATTCCAAATAAATGTAAGTGTTCAAGTCACAGTCTATTTGCCTCTGAGATACAGAGCCATCATAACACGACTCATATAAACGGTACTAAAATGTAGGAAAATATACTAATATGCAAGTAACAGATATTGGATAATGGTAATAAGAAACATACTTAATTGAATGAATGAAAGGAAGCAGGTATTTGTGTGATGCAATAATCCAATCATGTTGTTGTGTGCCTTTTATGATGTTTACTAGAGATTTTTCTCACTTTGTTATCCTTGGTCAAAGCCCAAACAACGTTGACTCCCACAGCGACATGTGTGGCTCCCACATCAGGACTGGGAGAATCCACCGTGACCCAGGAGGATCCTGACAAGAGAAACATATTAATATAAGTATATATATGTTCAACACAACAACATACAAAACTTATATATATCAATATTCCAATTACTTGTATATAGACTATTCTGCACAATTCCTATTATATTATATTTTATTTGTATTTACTTGCACTATTATCTGTTTTATTGTGTTGCACTGTTGGAGGAGCCTGTGACCTAAGCATTTCATTGTCATAACTACACTGTAGCTATGTACATATGACAATAAAAGCCTTGAACCTTGAACCTCTTCCCACCAGTGAGCCGGTGTACCTTTGGGGCAGTCTCTGCTGACGCCCTCCCTGACGAGGAGCTGGCCCTCCCACAGCACCGCCCACACCAGATCCCCGGGGCCACAGCTGATCTGGATCACCTCCCCAGGGAGAGACACCTCCTCCCACACTGAGCCCTCAGGATTCAGGTGATAGATCCCCTCTCTGAACCAAACCTGGAGAGCAAAGGAGGGATGAGAGAGGGAAAAGGAGGGATGAGAGAGAGAAAAGGAGGGATGAGAGAGGGATGGAGGGATGAGAGAGGGATGGAGGGATGAGAGAGAGAAAAGGAGGGATGAGAGAGAGAAAAGGAGGGATGAGAGAGGGATGGAGGGATGAGAGAGGGATGGAGGGATGAGAGAGGGATGGAGGGACAATACGTGAGGGAATAAATCTATATGCAATATAAAAAGCTACTATGGGCAAAAACAAGGTCAAGTAACGTTTGAATGTGCCTATCTTTGAAGAAAATCTCTTACAATATACACATTATTCACTTTAACTTTAAAGAAGTGTTTGTGGTGATTTCTTTCTACTGATTTAATTTAGTTTTGTATTTTTGTTGCTTTAATCATTTCTGTACCCTTCCCTGTAGTGTGTTATATAGGTTTTGTGCAAGTTAATGGTCTGCAAAGGCAAACATCTCAAAGTTCCCTCCAGAGGGAGTTTTTTTAAATGTAGTTAAATAGAAACACACACACAAAAAGTGCACTATTTATACATTTACAAAAATAAAACCACGTATAGAAAAGACATGTGTGCTATCAAACCGGCTTGTTACCATTAATTCAAAACAACATAAAGGAAATAAATGAAAATGAATAGTTTTTCTGGCAGATTTTTTCCGGTTGTGTATTTTCAAATTCTAGCGCACTCGAGCTGGTTTCTCCAAAATTACCTACCCCACCTTTAAAGAAAGTAACGAAAGTCCTAAAATCCTGCCAGCCATAAAGGATGCATTCATTTAATACGTTTTGTCTAATAGCATCACAACATTTATTTTGTTGTTATTTTTTAAATTGCGGAACTCCCCCTCATCTTTTGTTTTGCTGCCGCTAAGCATGCTGGGAGAATGACATTTGAGATTGGAGGACGTTCCAGAACCAAGAGCAAAACCAAACTGTGACATCACACCGGCTTTGGTCTTGGGGTTCTAAGAGTTTGCAAGTAGAAGTCTCTCAGAACTGAATTCACTCTTCTTAACAGACCGATGAGCAACAGACACATTCAGTTTGATCAGAAAACCTTTACAGTCTCCAACAGACACATTCAGTTTGATCAGAAAACCTTTACAGTCTCCAACAGACACATTCAGTTTGATCAGAAAACCTTTACAGTCTCCAACAGACACATTCAGTTTGATCAGAAAACCTTTACAGTCTCCAACAGACACATTCAGTTTGATCAGAAAACCTTTACAGTCTCCAACAGACACATTCAGTTTGATCAGAAAACCTTTACAGTCTCCAACAGACATCTTCACCCCAACACAAGTCTACAGACTGTGCAATGGATAGGAGAAACTATTCAAAAAACAGGGGTGATCCCGAGCCATACGACCATGAACATGCCGTGGATGAATGCCTGAACAAGATCCAGTGCAGAAATGGCAAGATATACGGCTTGGCTGATTTCCGCAATGCATATGATTGCGAGAAGAAGACTTTTGCCCACAAGATGCGCAAAGAAATGGACAAGGTGAAAAGTCTGGAGGCAGCGCTGAGTTACAGGGACTCAGGGTTTGGCAAAAAGCCCCAAGGGCAGTTTGACACTGAAGATCTGGCTCTAAAACAAGGCACAGATCCCAAGCCATATGACCATGAAGATACCGTGGAAGAATCCCTGAAGAAGCTCCACTGCAGAAATGGCAAGATATACGGCTGGGTTGAGTTATGCTTGGCATATGATTGCGAGAAGAAGACTTTTGCCCACAAGATGCGCAAAGAAATGGACAAGGTGAAAAGTCTGGAGGCAGCGCTGAGTTACAAGGACTCAGGGTTTGACAAAAAGCCCCAAGCGCAGTTTGACACTAGAGATCTGGCTCTAAAACAGAGCACAGAGTCTGAGGTCCAAATGATTAAGAAGCAAGTCGGCAAAAAGCCCCAAGCGCAGTTTGACACTGGAGATCTGGCTCTAAAACAGAGCACAGAGTCCGAGGTCCAAATGATTAAGAAGCAAGTCAGTCAGTTGGATGACGAGAAGAGAGAGCTGGTGGAAAAGCTCTCAAAGATGGAGATGAAATTGAAAGAGGTGGAGCAAAAGAAAGAAGAACTGGCTGAAAAACACCTGAGCTCACAGAAGATGGTGAAACAGTTGATTGTCCAGTTAAAAGAACAGGAGGAAAGGTTCTCCCAGAAACTGGCTGACAAAGACCCGAGCTGGGAGCCTGAGCTGGAACAGATGTCGATGAAGATAAGTCTCATGGTCAGAAACAACAGCAACTTCGAGAAAGAATTCCAAGCGTTGAAGGACAAGATGGGACAGCAGAAGGACAAGTTCCCAAAAGTCCTGGACGAACAGAATGTGAGCTCGGAGACTGAGCTAGAAAAGGTGGAGATCCAGCTAGAGCAGTCCATGAACAAAAAGACGCGTCTGGAGCTGAAAAACAAGGACTTGGAGAAGGAGGTCCAAGACCTGAAAGACGACAGGACAGAGCAGGAGGAAAAGGTCTCCAAAGAAAAGGCTGACCAGAGCTGGGAGACCAAGTTCAAGGTGATGGAGAAAAAGTTAAAGGCGGTAGAGGAGGAGAAGGAAACCCTGGCTCAGAAGAACCTGAGCTGGGAGGCGACAGAGAAGAAGAGAAAGGATGAACGTAAAGTCCTGGATGACTTGTTCTTCACAAGGGCGAATGAGGAAAGGATCCTCGCTGTGCGGAAAATGCGTAGCAGGAAACTGAAGAAGGCGATGAAAAAGGGAGCAAAATGGACGAAGCTGAGGCTACAGACAACGCCTCAGAGGAGACGGTGGAGACAGAACTGGAGGGAACGGAGAACAACAGGAAGGCAGTGTTGAGCTGTGACAGTGACTCAAAGATGGACCAGTCACTGTTCCTCACCTCTTCCTCTCTCCCCTCCTCCCTCAACTCCTTCCTCCATTTCCCTCATCTCCTGCTTCCTACCTCACCCCCCCCCCTCCCCTTTTCTCACATGCCAATTTCCTTCTACCACTAACCTCACCTCCTTCCTCCCACCTCACCATCTCTCCCCTCACTTCACCTCAGCAACAGACTCCATCTCTGACTCCACCGCCAACTGAAGAGTCGCCAAGGAGGACTCATATGCATTATACAAATTGTGTTAAAAAACTTAAAGGTTACCTGGTTGGTAATGGGCTAGTTTTTTGCACAACCCATCAAATGGTTGTGATATCACTAAGTGGCCCAAAACTGATCATCTCGTTTTCAGGTTGTTATATACATTAGATGTGTCAGGACGTAGAAAGAGAGAGAATCTCTTAACGCGGAGCAGACACATCAATGTTTGAAAGACATGAAAACGTGGATATTGAATAATAGGTGACCTTTAAGCAACATTTCATTAAACAAATAAAATGAAAACACAAACCAAATGTAAAGGTCTGTGCCTCACTGTGTAAACACATACAGTCTAAAGTCAATACTGTATGGTTACTTAAAGGTGTTTTTCTTCACACACATGCTCTCCAGTACAGGTTAGCTCTGAGTGTTAGCGATGCTAATGTAAACACCGACCATATTACGTCCAAAACTGTCGGGGCATTGTTTCTGATAGCAACGTTCTGATAGGGCCGTGGGTCCACATTTCAGATATTACGTCATATCGGACGCAAATCTGGATCA